AACATAATTAAAAATATATATATAAATAAAAACAGAATTTTTTTTTTGACATTTTTTATCATGAATGCTCCTTATTTTTGTATTTGGGGGAGTAGGGGAAACCCCCCTCCATGGCTCAGACAGCCCACGCAAGCTGTCTGAGGGGTCCTCGCAGCCATGTGGTGCAGACCCCCCCACCAAAAATCCAGGCAGGAAGTGAGTATGGATTGGAGACCGAGCTGGCCGAATATATGCTCAGAATTCAACTTCAGATAAGTGTTTCAGCAGTTATGGGTTGCTCACGTAGCTAGGCCGTGTTGGTCTCTGCGGAGTTTGAACGTGATTCTCAGGGCTTGGCTGCACTACTAACCAAATGTGCAGAACTAGAATGAATCTACTGCAGAACATGGAATAATACGCCGCCGTATGTTTTGTCTGTTGCGCATGAGGCCCCTCTGCACGTCTTCCTAAGAAAAAACAAAAAGGAGAAAAAAACAAAAACAAGAAAAAACAAAACAAAACAAAAGAATGAATCTTCCTCAGAAGATGAAATAATACGCCGCCATATGTTTTGTCTGTTGTGCATGGGCTGAGTAGAGGCCCCACTGCACGTATTCCTAAGAAAAAAGAAAAAGGAGAAAAAAAGAAAAACAACAAAAAGAAAAACAGAAAGAAAGAATGGATCTTCTGCAGAACATGTCTTTTGTGCATGTGCAGAGAAAGGCCCTTAGGCCCACTGCACGTTTGTTTTTTTCTTTTTTTTTTAATAGCGCGATGGCCTTGAGGTATTATCATCGGACTAACCAGCCCTTGAGTGGGGACCAGCCCACTCGTGGCCTTGAGTGTCGGCCTTGAGTATCCATCAGGTTGGATGAGGTATTATCATCGGACTAACCAGCCCTTGAGAGGTATTATCAGACGGCCCACGTGGCCTTGAGTGGCAGACCTATAGCAGACCTATAGCAGTGTGCATGTCCAGATTGTCAGCCTTGAGTGGCAGACCTATAGCAGACCTACAGCAATGTGCATGTGCAGAGTGTCGGCCTTGAGTGGCAGACCTATAGCCTTAGGGTGGCCTGATAGCCTTTTCAGCCCAGGGTGGCATGATAGCCATAGGGTGGCCTGATAGCCTTAGGGTGGCCTGAACATCAGCAGAGACTGCCTTTTGGGGGGACCAACGGCACAGAGACGAGAGGGCGTTGCTACAGACTTTATAAAAAAAGAAAAACAAGAAAAAAACAAGAAAAAAGAAGAAAAGGAAAAAAGAATGAATCTTCTGCAGAACATGTATTTTGTGCATGTGCCGAGTAGAGGCCCTTAGGGCCAATGCAGGTATTCCTAAGAAAAGCAAGAAAAACGAGAAAAAAGAAAATAAGAAAAAAGAAAAACAGAAAAAAAAAAAAATCGTTTTTCTTTTCTTAGGAATACGTGCAGTGGCCATAAGGGGCTCTACTCAGCACATGCACAACAGACAAAACATATGGCAGCGTATTATTCCATGTTCTGCAGTAGATTCGTTCTAGTTTTGCACATTTGGTGAGTAGTGCAGCCAAGCCCTGACAGCCTACCTACGTGAGCAACCCATAACTGCTGAAACACAGACCTAAAGTTGAATCCTGAGTATATATTCGGCCAGCTCGTGCTCTACTCCATCCTCGCTGCCTGCCTCTGTTGGGGTGGGTGGGCGGGTCTGAGCCACATGGCTGCGAGGGCCCCTCAGACAGCCTGCATGGGCTGTCTGAGTCGTGATTGGGGGTTTCCCCCATCCCCCTGAAAAAAAGAGCAGCACTTTTTTTCTTTTCTTTTTTTTCTCTCTTTTGTCTGGGGCATTGGCCCACAGCCCCCTTCAAGCAGCGCTGCCGCTTCCCACACTGCCCACAGCCCCCCCACCGAATCAATCGATTTGTTTTTTTTTTCTATATATATATATATTTTTCACACCTCAAAAATCGCCCCCCGAAATTTTTGATTTTTTCTTTTTTCTTTTTGGACAGGCCGAGAGCGGTCGACGTGCGCACGCCGCGCGCGCGCTCGGATTTTGTGGGCGCGTGCCCACCTGGGCGTGCCTCGGCCGCGCGCGGACTCGGCTGCGCGGCCTAGGCCGCGGACCCGCGGCATAGGATCCCGGCCGCTGACTCCGATCCTCCGGCCGTGGCCGAGGGTGCCACGTAGGCGGGCGCTGGAGTAGCAAGGAACCTGTTTTCGCGTGGACGGTGTCAGTGGAAGAGAGCGCCAGTGGGTGCACACAAGGAACGCTCTGTTCGGGCGCACATAAGGAATGCTTTGTTGTCGTTGAGCGAGAGCACGCGCAGAACAAAGGGTAGTGGTGGATGCACCACGACACAATCCGGCGCAGCGTGACCCTAAACTGACCCCTATAAACACCGATTCTCACCATCGTCTACGCAAGCTCTTGCGGTGTTCCATTCAAAGGTAGCAGTGCAAGAGCTTATCGAACTCGGACATCTCCACGTCGCAGAGAACTGAAATGTAGAAATGGATCAGAGATACCCCCGGCAACCCTTCCAAACATTGATTCTGTCAATCGACAAGGCGACCGCCGACTCGCACGCCTGGAACGGAAACGTGCAACAGCGCGAACCGCACAACACGCAGAAACACAAGCATCCCTGCGACGGTAGCCCGTGCACCGTTGGGGGGGAACATTGATTGGGGGTGGGAAAAATTGTGCGCCTTCTGAAATGCCCTTGAAGGGGTTTATGGGGGTTGCCGACGGTGACAACGGTCGTGTCCCTTATTTTCGGCAACCCCCACAAACCCATTGAGGGGCTTTTTCAGAAGGCGAGCAATTTCTCGCACCCGCAGTCCTCTCGCAATCAACTCGCACTCGAAGCTGCAGGCGTCAAGTGAAGGACGGTTGGATATGCGCCGATTCTCGAAGTCCGCCAGCATCCGAACTTGGATGATTAGCTTGCAGCGAGTAATAGGTCTTCGCGCGGCTGCAGGTATTGGAACGGCTGGTTGGCGTTTGCACACACCCTGTCAAAACACACAAAAATTTTATTCATGGCGGCGATGAACGAAGATCCACGACATACCGGAAATGGACCCGGCCAGTGACACCGACGTCAACCCCCATGAACCCCTTTCAGGGCATCTTAGAATGCGAGCACATTTGACGACGGACGGGCGAGTCCGAGCTGACGAAAACAACGGTCAGATTTGCGAGGATACTCTAAGTCCGTCGGGATCCGAATTTGGCGAGTGATGAAGTAGCAAGGGTCTTCCAAGTCGAGCAATTCGACGGTGAACATTATGTGAAGTCCGCCGGGATCCGAGGCAGAGGCAAATACCAAGCTGTTGAGAAAAAACGGTCAGATTTACGCGGAGCGTCAAAGTTCGCCGGGATCCGACGTTGGCGGGTGCTGGAGTGGCAAAGACCCTGTCCGGTGTCAGTGGAAGGGAGCGGTAGTGGGTGCACACAAGGAACACTCTGTTTGGAACAGAAGGACGGCTCTGTTGTCGTTGAACGAGAGCACGCGCAGTACGAAGGGTAGTGGTGGATGCACCACCACAGAATTCGGCGCAGCGCGACCCCAAACTGACCCCTATAAACACCGATTTCCAGCATCGTTTACGCAAGCTCGTGCGGTGTTCCATTCGAAGGTACTAGAGCAAGAGCTTATTGAACTCGGACATCTCCACCTCGCAGAGAACAAAAACATAGAAATGGACGAAAGATCCCCCCTGCAACCCTTCCTAACATGTATTCGGTCAACCGTCTAGGCGACCTCAGACTCACGCGCCTGGAACGGCAACGTGCGACAGCAAGAACTGCACAACACAGAAAAACACAAGCATGTCTGGGACAATACTCCGCGCACCGCGACGGTCAAAACCCTTCCAAGGCGACAAAGGTCAGGGGTGTGAAAAATTGTTCGCCTTCTGAAATGCCCTTGAGAGGTTCATGGGGGTTGCCGACGCTGACAACGGTTGTGTTCGTTATTTTCGGCAACCCCCATAAACCCCTTGAAGGGTATTTCAGAAGGCGAGCAATTTCTTGTGCCCACTGTCCTCTCGAAATCAACTCGCATTTGAAGCTCCAGGCGTCACGCGAAGGACAGTTGGATATGCGCCGATTCTCAAAGTCCGCCACGATCCAAACTTGGTTCATTCGCCTGTAGCGAGTAACAGGCATGTGACGCGGCTGCAGGTATTGGAACGGGTGGTTGGCGTTTGCGCAGAAGCCGTCGTCAACCCCAATAAACCCCTTTCAGGGCATCTTTGAAGGCGAGCAATTTTGACGACGGACGGGGAAGTCCAAGATGTCGAAAACAACGGTCAGATTTACGCGGAGACTCTAAGTTCGCTGGGATCCGAATTTGGTGGGTGCTGGAGTAGCAAGGGTCTTCCAAGTCGAGCGATTCGATGGCGCACATTACGTGAAGTTCGCCGGGATCCGAACTTCGTGGATCGAGGGCTTTCGTCAAATAATGCTGAGTCGAACTACTTGCCTGAAAACCAAGCAGTCACGGCACTAGGGGTGTCTTGGCAGCCGACGGGACGGGCGGTGCAAATTTCTCGATATCCGCTGATATCCGAAGTTTGTCGAAGCAGGGCCATCCGGATTGAGCCTGGCCGCTTGTCCAAAAAAGCGAGCAGTCGTTCCGGCACCATTCATGTTGCAACCTGCAAACTGCCCGCAACCGTAGCGGCAGTAGCGCTGTGTCTTGGTCCGGACAATCGTGGGGACGTGTGCATATTGCATGCCGTGCTTGTCCGCCGGGATCCGAACTTTATGTTCACGATCTCGAGCTGCACAGGTGGAGATGAAGGGATCGCAGTCGTGCTAGTCCGCCGGCATCCGAACTTCGTGCTCTTGCCATACAACGACGAGAATCTCCTTCCTCATCGACGACAGTTCTATCGACCACATTGCACAACTGCAGTCGATCCGAGACGGGGTTTTCACCGTAGTCGGCCAACTGGACTGATGGAGGTTCTCCTCCAGCAGCGTTGAGTGCTCTACGATCCACGTGTAAGTCCACGTGCCAGAGAACGGGGCGTACCTCGTTCAGCAACGACGACGTTGCACAACAGCGGCAACTTTTCTCGCCTTCTTCTCGCTTTCACATCGACCAAGCGTTTCGCTGTTTGTCGCGCGCGTTTGGTAGTTTGTCGTGCGCGATACCGTGCAATGTTGTCGATGCAGAACGAGGTTCACGCCGTGGCGCCACGTGGACCGCAGCTGGAGGAGAACCTCCATCGGTCCACGTGGCAGAGCGGAGTGAGAACCTCGTCCCGCATCGACCACATTGTGCACTCTGGTCGTTGCAACTGTCCATTGCAAAACGTGTGCGGTCGCGCTGGTCTTTGCACCGCGGTTTTGACAAAGCATCTAATTGTGTACTGCAATCAGAGCAAGCTAATGATGGCAGGGTTGCTTTGCCTGCAAACGGCCAATTGCGGAGTTGACTTCTGCGCGATTCTGCACTTTGTTTGGCGCGTGGCGAAAAGTGCCGGTGGGAGAACAGACAAAGGCGAGAAAACACGGCGTGTTGGTTTCCATGATGGCACAGGAACATGCTTATTCCTTACGAGTGTTATGTTGTGAGATTGCACGGATCTCGAATCATCTACTTGCATAAACCACCCGTGCTATGGATGTAGGATCGTTAACCCCTTCGCAGCGTG